AGAAGGAAATATAACAATTGTTTACAGGACAGCTAGCTAGAGGGTAATCAGTAATTTAATTTTCTTTTCATATACATTATCAATGAGTTTATGTAGAAACAATGCAGAGAATAGTTTTCAGTGGAAGAATTACGAAACATGAGATATAAAAGGTAAAGAATTTGAAACTATTTACCTGTAATAGGTAACGATGTAGCAGAACACCTCATCTGGGGCACAAAGATTTTACTTATAATGTACCAGAGATTAATTTTTTTTCTTTGTTCTCTTTTTAATTTATATAAATCTCAGTTGATTTTTGGCCTATGTTTTTTTAAATCGAAGTTAAAAAAAAACAGTTTTCACTGTTTTGCAACTAAGACGTCATTATACATCCTTCAAAGCCAGTGTTCAAAAGGGATAAATTTAGAGTGCCAGGGATTAAATACTGGTTAGTGGTGGCATCATGGTTTCCAATGGCAACACCAGTTGTAAAACAAGGGAATTAATTTAGAGTATTTTTTTTTAACTAAACTGATTATCTAATTGAATGAAGCACAACAGTTTTTTTATTAATGTTTTCATCACAAATTGTAGTTAAAATATTGTACCTGAAAAATCTTAGTGCTAAATTATTTAAAAATAATCAAAAGGTGTTTAGGTTCAATCCCATCTGACCTGAAATAATTTTTAGATAAGTGTCCAGTAAATACAAATCTGGCTCAGATTTCGGTATTAATAGGGATTTTATTATTTTTGCCTTCTTTATCCCGACCTTTCTCAACTGTTCTACACACTGGCTCTCCCTGCCCATCCGTTTTATCTCACTATTTTTATACAGGAAAATGTTGATGCTAAAAGCATTTGGCGACTTGTCAATAGAGCTAATACTAAATCATTCAAGTGTCTAAAATGATAGACACTAATCACCAATTACTTACCTGCAGATGCTTATAAAATATAAGCTCAATTGAAGAACAAGAATACAGAGATGAAGATATTCTGTTCAGTCTCTCTAAATCCTAACACTTGTCTGAATAGTGGGGTGAGTACCAAAATCCAAGATTTTAGAAGGTTTGGAACTGTGGTAGTGTCTATTAAAAAATTTCAAAGTATTCTGGTACATTGGTGCTAAAATACCAAAATTTGCCAAAAATTTTTGTTGTTCACTAATCAAAATGAAGGAAAACAATTTATTGTGAACAAAGTCAAGGCTTTTCTTATGAAAGGGTGGAGATAAAACTGGATGAAAGGAATGGTGGCACAATAACATACACCCAGTGACATGCAGAGGTTTACTTATGTTTGCTGATGCCTGGAGCCAACTCTTTGATTGTGGGGCCTGTAGGACCTTGTACTAAGAAATGTGAGAAAGGAAGACATTTTAAACAGTTGAGACATGAAAATAACACTTTATTCAAATTATTATTAAACTAAATTTTTATTTCCCTCTTTGATTGGATACCCTCCTGATATGGATGCCATCGCACTCTCTGCCACCCCTTCTGCACACTACCGCATGCACTATATTGTGAAAGGCAGTTTCAAAAACTGTCCTGCCACAACTATATGCATACCTGCAATTGCATTACTAGAATCAACCAGAAAAACCGACATTTTATCCATCATAATGATAAGACACAGATTAGATTACTTTCCTTTTTAAATTTCTTTAATATCCCCCCAGCTATGGGTTAGATAATAGTTGTATCAGGAAAAATCATTGTTATCTAAAAAAAATTGTTAATGCAGTATTCAATTACAAAAAAGAATTATTCTTACAACGCAAAAAATATTTCAGTTTTAAATAACCTGCAAAAAAACAAATCAATCAATCTAAGATCTAAAAATCTCATTAAAGAACACATGGCCCAGTGGATAAAGATGTTGGTTAGATCCAGTGACTAGGCCCAAAGAGTTGTGAGTTCAATACCAGGCCACAGCAGTGGTGAACCAAAAACTTGGAGAGTTGCGTTAAAGAGAAATAACTGAAACATCCAGAAGAGTCATGGCACATGAAACTAGAACAATCTACCTCGGTAGACAAAATAAATGGCTCAGTTTGAAATTCCAATCACCTGAAGAAGGTTAGAGCACACAATAGCTGAAACGTGAATATAGCAATCAAAATGAGGATAACAGTCAGAATAATGTGAATCATACAAGTAAAAAGGTTCTTTTGAAGTAACTTGATCAAAATAATAAAATTTAAATAGATACCAGGAAATTGGTAGCTGTATGTCAGTTTTGGAATTAAAAGGTTAACACTTCATACTGATGTTTTATATAATTTTTATTTGATACCATGAAAAACGTAATGCCTTGTAGTCCAACATAAGCTAAGGTGATTCTGATACTGTTAACTCCTATTTTGAGTAGGTCCGACTCTGAACTATCTTTAGCTGTTAAAGATCCAAATGCCCTTTCGTTGTGTTCTCACGCCATGTGTATACATTATTGCTACTGCCTTTAACTCTTTTTCACATCATTGATACAAACAATACACAATAATCAAAGAAAACAAATCTATGGCAGCATCTCAGCAGCCATTATACTCTCACCAAATTACCTTTTGATTCTTCATTAACTATTAGTTTATAATTCTATATTTTGTTTAAGGTAAATCAAAGGTAATTTCCAGGCATCCTCTATACATAGAAGGAATGTCAGTATTAGTGGGTGAAATGTATAGTCCACAGTCTATGGATCCCATAATTGAGTCAACCTGTAAATAAGTTGTTTATTTTATTTCTTTTTTTTTTTCAAGGATACAATTTGTTGAAAATGATATTGTCTACAAGTACATGATGACACCATCTCATTAGCTGGAAAGTAGATGAAGTGAGTGACAAGGAATTAACAAGTTTAGAGATTCAAGAGCGGAATTACTGACCACTTTCTACCAGAACCATAAGTTTCTGGATAGGTCGCTCGAAAATGCAAACCTTGTTGAGGAGATGTTCTTTTCCTTTTCTTAATTTTTGATTTTCAACCTGTATTCAAACTAGTCCATCATCTGTTTAGACTTCCAAAACCCTGACCAGTTTCATCTTACTGTGAAAGAACTTCTCTTTCTTGACAATCATGGTCACCAACTCATACATTCTGTTTTGGAGTGTGCCATCATTATCTGACAGGTTGGTGACATATTCCTTCATCCACCTGTTACAGAACTGTTCAGCCAAATACTGCATTTTTCTCTACCATTTCTTTGGCTTATAATTCTTCTTTAATAAATATACCAGGTCAGGCAATAGAACAGAAGATTTCATAGTGAGCAGATGGTTGGGTGTTAATGGTTCCATACTTGTAGGATCACTGAGAGTGTTCACGGTGAGTGGGCAGCTATTTACTATTGACATAGCCTCATATAAGAATGCCATCAAAGATGCATAATCCAGTCTTCCACCACTACTTGCTAGGATTGAAGCAAGGACATTTTTCACTGTCCTGAAAGAGCAATAACAGCTACTGGACTTGAGAAACTTATTTTCCTTAAAAATTAAGAGAAAAATTTTATAAATTTCAACTGAAAGTAGCATTGGCTGCTCAGTTAATGAATGCTGAATGTTTCTATATAAGGAAACAGTTAATATTACCACTAATCAAATAAGCTCATATTCAAGGTGGGTACCAAGTAAGATATAGGACCCATGGCTAGCGAGTGATATAAGTTTATTCCTCAAATTTCAGTAAGTACCCGAGAACTTAAATGGTGTTTTACCTATTTTGGCTTAAGTACCTATTATAATGGCTGCTGAGATGCTGCCATAGATTTGTTTTCTTTGGTAAATGTGTATTGTTTGTATCAATGATGCGAAAAAAGGCAGCAGCAGCAGCAATAATGTAAACACTCAGTGTGAGAACACAACAAAAGAGCGTTTGAATCTTTAATGCCTAAAGATAGTTCAGAGTCAGACCTACTCAAAATAGGAATAAACAGTATCAGAATCACCTTAGCTTATGTTGGACTACAAGGCATTACATTTTTCATGGTATCAAATAAAAAATTATATAAAACATCAGTATGAAGCATTAACCTTTTAATTTCAAAGCCAACATACAGCTACAGTGAAAAATGTATTTAAAAAAAGTAAAACAACTCCATCCCCAGAGGCCCAACTGGTCACACATGTTCATCTTCAGGTCAATTGATACAATTTATTTAGTCAATTGCCACGATTTATAAAGAACTCTCTCTTAACACAGTGTTATATGAATGTCATGCATAGTGCCAAAGTTTTATAAAAAAAATTTTAAAAAAAGTAAAATGTCTGTAGAAAGTGGATTTTCATTGCAAAGTGGGAGGTTGCCTGAACTAACAGATATTCCGTTAAATGTGCCAGGAGTTTTAAATTCCAATGTAAAGAAAGAGAATACAGTATGTGTTACAGTTACATCAAGGCCTAAAATCAGAAAATCTTGTCAGAAAAAAAAACCCAACACCAAAAATGATGGAATTAATAGAACTGGTCGGCAAAGACAGATGAGAAGTTCGTAGTTGCATATAAAAAATGGAGAGTGTATGTCAAAGAAGTTTGCACACAGTTAAAATGTGAGTGCTCTGAAAACAACCTATACGATATGATGAACCCTGCGGAGACCTGTGAGTGAAATTAAGTAGATGAAACTATTTGGAAGCCATTAATGCTTATACCAGCACAAGGTTGCAAGTTGCAGCTCTGAGTTTGAAACTCAGATATTTGATGCACTCATTTTCATTTGATTTTAACAAGTCAAACGCACATGAAACAGCCAATGCCTGTTAATCTGTTCTCTTGAACAGGAAGTTTTGAAATAGTGAAATTTACTCAAAATGTCCAGAGATAGAGTATTAGCTGATTGTCAATGCTGAACACAAGTGATAACTTCTCTACATCTGTACATACACCAGATTCAGGGTGGGGGAGATATATCTTCAGGACACGGTTACTCAATGAGACATGTGACTAAGAAAACATTCTTGTGAACTTTTGTGATTATGTGTATCTGATAATTTCTATTTTATTTTTATTTTGCAGATTTACAAGTGGATGGAACTTCTCTCAGTTTTAAACTAGTTGAAAAAAATGAAGAAAAGAGTTTCATTCTTAATGTTTCTGAGGATTATCCAGGTAAGTCTTTAAAAAAAAAAAAAGATTTAATTTGGTTGCATGAGTCTGTCAGGAAAATTTTGTTAGAAGAAAAGAAGTCATGAACTGTTATGTAATATTGGTTCTGTGAATAAGGCAGTGAATACTGGACAATCTCTTCACAGATAAAAAATGGGACATGAGGTAACAGAAATATGGTTCTACAGAAGGATACTGAGAATCCCATGGACTGAACAAGTTTTAAGGAAAATGGAAACAAAGATACTTTACAATAAAAAAGAAACAGTTTTGTTTATCCCTTATTTCCTGTTTAGAACTGGGTTTCCAGTTCCTTCTAAAGTCTTCTCAGTTTCTTTTATGCCCAATCATCCATTGTGTCTTAATGGCATTATCGCCTTACTTATGGTAAAATACAGTAGAATCCCTCATATCTGGGCATGATTTTGATGCATATATTTCAGTTATTTGGTTGATATGTAACTGATTTGAAATATCTGTTTGTCAGGAAATTTACTTTGGATAATTGCTTATGCTTATCTCACTCTGATGGCTTGTATTAGTGCAAAAGATGATGGGAATAAGAGGAAAAGAACAACTTTGTGGTTATTGTAAAAAGTGGAAATTTTAAATAGACTAGATGCTGGTGAAAGTTCATTGTAACTAATGGCTGAGTTCAATATAGGAAAGTCAACATTGTATGATATAAAATATTCCAAAGAAACTATTCTCCAGTGTTCATGCTGTCACAATGAAATAAAAAACAGGATTGTGATGAAACCTGGACTGAAATTGAAAAAGCTACTGAAAAGATTGTCAGTTTTATGGAAAGAAGGCAAGCATTCAGCTATGATGATTGCAATAACACATGCAGAGTTCAAAAGTGTTTTTTGTTTAAAAAATTTCAAGAACAAAAGCAAAATGAAATATGGAAAATGTTGAAAATGACATTAGAAGAGAAAGAATCATTATGCAACAGTGATTAAAAAAATCCTCGTTACATTATTTGTTTTGCATACGTGGCTTAATTAATTTAATGAATTTTCATTAACATTACATAATTTATTTCTTTTTCCTTAAAATCAGTTCTGTTATATTTCACTCATCATTAGCTTATTTTGTTTACTATAAAACATTGAAAATAAATGTTAAATCTGATTTTATTTATTTTATTTTAATCTAAATATAACCACTCATGTCCGGACTTTGTAACCAATTCCTCATATCCGGAAGGCCTTCTTAGTTTGGTTGTCAGAGATTCTACTGTAATTCAAAAAAAAAAAGAAAAAGAAATGAGGACAGTGAGCAACAACATAAGATATACAGATAACACAGTGTTGATAACAGGAAACAAAAAGGACACTTAGGATCAGAAAAAGACAGTTGTAATTTCTAGTACACATAATGAGGAAAGAGGGCTTAGAAAATCTGACACTCACAGGATATATTGAAGGCAAGATGGACAGAAGAAAGCAGTGCATAACCAACCTAACAAGCTTGCGTAAATGGTTGTCAGAACAGGGATTAGGAGAGATAGCAAAAAGACAAACTTTACAAGTAGCTACAAAAGATAGAAAATTGTGGTGAGCCATGATCACTACATCCTTAAGGGACATGTCACATAGAAGAAACTACTGATCTTGCTTCCTTTGTTGTCACATTGTTTTGACTGATCCATTCCTCGGCTTTTCTCAAGTATAGAATTCATATAAGGTTTACAGCCACATCTTATTAAAACACTAGTTCCCATATAACCACCAAAATTAAGGTGACTGCTTGGGAATACCAAAGGCTGTAAGTTTGGATGTGTGGTTGGTGTAGTAATAATGGTTCAGAATTGTTAATTGATGAGCTGAGTTCCAATTCCAGATGGGTTCTTTATATTTACTTATGCACTAATAGCCTTGGGAAAGGTATGAATCCACAGTAATTAGTAAGGGTTATATCACTAAATCATTATTATTTCCCCCAACAAAAAAAAAATTCTTACCGTCTAAAGATATTTTTCTTTAAATAATCTGCAAAGTGTTGATAAACCATAGAAACTGAATCAATAAAAAGAAACAATTATTTATGATAATCCAAAGATAATCAAAAAATGCAGTAAAATTGACAAATGTAGAATCAGAAAACTATAAAACTCAAAGAAATAATTAATAATAATAATTAATATTAATAGACCAAAACCTAATGGTAAAAAAAAAGAATATACATAAAAAAAAAAGAAAATACAAAAAAAAATGTGATAAATAAAAAACCTCCGAAACTTGAAAACAAAAATACAGATGTACTGTGAAAGGTGCTGAAAAGCCTGAGAAATATTGGAGGAATTGAAATTGAGAGGAAGAGTTGTGACCAGCCAGACAATATAATTACTGAAAATGTTAAAATACTGAGTAGAGTTCTGGAATATTGAAGAAACTTGCACTCAATTGATCTCCTGTGTAAGTCACAGTTTTTATTGGTCTGAACATTCAATGATTTAATAATAACGAAAAGAAAATAACTCTATGGAAAATTTAAAAGAAATCGAACAAGAATCCATATGGAAAGAGAAAATCTCTCTCTTTCTCTTTCCTCACCCTCTTTTTCTTTTTTTATTTACACTTATTGACTGTGTGGTCAATGAATTCTGAATGTTTCAACCTATGAAAATAGCTAATATTACCATTACCCATATTCTTCTTACCACTGAAAATAGTAACAACAAAAATAAAATAAGATCAGTAATTTGAAAATCACTTACAAAGTAATAAAAATATATAAGTAATGCATAGTTCCACCTTATGATTAATCCAGGTGAAGAAGTGGTAAGGAAGTTGTGAAGGAGAAAAAGGTAAGAAAGGTAGAAAGAAATGAAAAGAAAAGCATATGGCAGGAAAAGAGAAAGAGATTCAGACAAAAGACAGACAGACAGGCTTGAATTCTATAACTCCTTTATCCCTTTGATCCACTGGCCAGTAGCTAGATGGGTGACTGCTTATGAATACCAGATGCTGTAAGCTTGGATGTGCAGGTGGTGTAATGGATAATAACTTGGAATTGTTAGTTGGAGAGCAGAGTTCTAATTCCTGTTGCGTTCATTATATTTACATGCATGCAAATAGCCTTGGGAAAGGTATGAATTCACTCCTCCCTCCCCTCAGCTATAGGTTAATTAATAAGACTTGTATCACTAAACCATTATTATCTAAAAAAAAAAAAAATCTGGCTTTAAATAACCTGGAATGGGTTAGTAAGCCATAAAAAACAAATCAGCCAATCAATCTTTGATCCTTTAAAGTGAGTTAAGTTTTATTTAATTTTTTTTTTATATTTTGGACCATGACACATACCATATATAAGTAGGTAGGTAATATTTGTTTTGTTTATCTCTGACTATTGGTTCAGTATTGTCAATTTATTTCCCTATCATTTATCATTCAAACATTTTATTTTTTTATCCTTTTCTTATTTATTGATTGTAATTTGTAGGGAAAGCATTTTGAATCATAACATTATTTTGTTTTGTTTACTACTTTTATTATTTCTTCGCTTTCATGGTTACCATCCTTGAAAAGGATTGCTTGCAAAGATACATTCTAACAAACAATATGAGTATCTCAAGGGCTTTCTTAACAATAAGAGGATACACTACAATTTGATGACACCAAAACATTGAGAACGTTGTTGTTCTGAAGAGTTTCTCTTGAACCTGGCTCTGCTGAAATTCAATGATTTTGTTGAGGTATTAATCATTGACATCTGCTGTCACAACACTAAACATAAACAGCTGTCTCACCCATGCTGTTTATCTCTGTTGTGGCCTTGTTAGGGGCCAGAAATAAAGATACAAAGAGAGGAACTGAGTTAAACAAATATATTAACAGAAATAGTAATACAAACATGTACAAATGAGAGTGTTACAGCAAGAATGTTTGGTCCGACTGTCAGAGCTGACTGCTGGAAACTTCCCTCTCCAAAAGGCAGTACCTGCTCCTATTTATAGCTGGGAGAGTCCATGCATGCATAGGTAAATTACCATAACAATCTCTCTGGTAGGGAAGTATCTGTTGAGAGACTTTGGGAGCTCATGCAAGTGCATGGCAACTGTTTGCTTCAGTTCCCCGGGTACAGAAATGTCTCAGATTCCTGACACATCTTCAATCTTACTTACACAGTTGTCCAGCAGGAGAAAGTTTATGAAGTCATCATTCTGTTTCAATGATGTTGACTTCACCACCCTGAATCTGTTGATTGAGATGATTGAGAGCATCAAAGACATTGCCCATGTACGCCAAAATAAGAATTCAGAATTTTCAAAGCAGTCTGCATGAAAATGTTGCTGCTCTTGCAAAAACGGCCAATTCTACATGCATGGCAAAAACATGATTCAGCACCTTTCCCCATGATAACCCCCCAAATATTAGAATAGTACAGAAGCACCTCAAATTCAGAGCCCACTTCTTTGAAGATGCAATGCTTCATAGCATTATTTCATATGTAATTCACACATTCCACTACAATTTTAGTACTTCTGCCAGTTTTAGAGGCAAGGTTTTTGTTGCCAACACCTGCCTGTGCAGAACAATGATGTGTAGTGCTTCAGCTTTCACCAGCACTCCAAAACCAGAGTTTTGTCCCAGCATGACTGGAGCCCCATCCACACAAACAGCAGAAACGATGTTCCACAAAAGATTGTTATCTCTAAAAGTGTCATCCACAAATTTCTTCATGTCGGTTACCTTGATGTTGTTGTTGTTGTAAGAGGCTTACAAAATAAAAAATCTTCCTTTATCACATTGTCTTTCATATAGTGCCCAAATACAACAACTTAGTTTAGATTGGAAACATTGGTGATCTTGTCGAGTTGGTGGCTGAATTTTGCTGGGTTTAAAATCAGATCTGCAACTACCTGACCCAAGATGTCATTGCTCATGTCGTCTATTCTGTTGCTGATAGTGTCATTTGAAAGAGGAATTTCGGTTAACATACCCTTAGCAGCTTTTCCTAGTATGATATTCATTATCTTCAATGCAGCTGAT